CCGAGGGCCTGGGCCGCCTGCGGCACCTCCGTGCCCTCGACGTCGACCACAACCTGCTGCCCTCCTTCCCCGCACCGCTGCTGGAGTTGGCCGCCCTGGAGGAGCTCGACTGCTCCGGCAACCGCCACCTCGGGGCCCTGCCCGAGGGCATCGCTGCCCTCCGCCGCCTCAAGATCCTCTGGCTGAGTGGCACCGGGCTGGTGGCCCTTCCTGAGGGCCTCTGCCAGCTGAATGCCCTCGAGAGCCTCATGCTGGACGGCAACCGGCTGCGGGCCTTGCCCGCCGGCTTCGGCAGCCTGCCGCGGCTCAAGATGCTGAACCTCTCTTCCAATCTGCTGGGAGAGTTCCCTGCTGCCATCTTGGCGCTGCCCAGTCTGGAAGAGCTTTACTTGAGCCGCAACCAGCTCACCCTACTGCCCCCTCACCTATGCCAGCTCCACCAGCTCCGCACCCTCTGGCTGGACAACAACCGCATCCGCTACCTGCCTGACTCCATCGTGCTTCTCCATAGCCTGGAGGAGCTGGTCCTGCAAGGAAACCAGATTGCCATCCTGCCCGAGGGCTTCGGGCAGCTTTCCCGTGTCACCCTGTGGAAGATCAAAGACAACCCCCTCATCCAGCCCCCCTACGAGGTGTGCATGAAAGGCATCCCCTACATTGCAGCCTACCAGCAGGAGCTGGCCCACTCCCAGCCTGCCCTCAAACCCCGCCTCAAGCTGGTCCTCATGGGCCTAAAGGATGCAGGAAAGACCCTGCTGAGGCGATGCCTCATGGAGGAGGATGGGCAGAGGGAGGACATGGGAAATCTGGAGGCAGGGAGCACCCAGCCCAGAGGGTGCCCTGGGCAGCAGCAGGACACTGGGAGGGTGTCAGTTGGGTGTTGCCCCTTCCTGGAGTCTCAGGATGCTTCCTCAGTGCAGGTAGCTGCCACGCAGCAGCTGGAACATCTCCCTGTTGAGCGGCAGTACATCCCTTCTCACATGCCTTCTCACCGAGTGAAAGGGGAAACACCGTGCCCTGCACCATCGCTGCCACTGCTGCCACATGCCCCCCAAGTATCATCAGGACTGGGACTGTCGGGAGGCAGCAAGGGCATTGAGGTGATGGACTGGACAGCGGATGCGGAGAGGGGCCTGACATTCATTGTGTACGAGCTGGCGGGGGACCCAAGCTATGATGTGATCCAGTCTTTCTTCCTCTCTCCTGGAGCCCTGTACGTGCTGGTGGTGAATTTGAGTGCCTACGTCCCTCAGCACTTCTACCCCTCTGTGGGCTATTTCTTGCACTGGCTTGGTTCCAAGGTGCCCCATGCCGTGGTGTGCATGGTGGGAACCCATGCTGACCTCTGTGCGGAGCGGGAGTTGGAAGAGAAGTGCCTGGACATCCACCACCAGATCGCTCAGCAGGAGAAGAGGGATGCTGAGGGACTCCAGAGCTTGGTCCAGCAGGTGGATGAGGCTCTGGGACAGGACTTTGACCTGCGCTGCTCCAGCCCGCACGCTGCCTTTTACGGAGTCTCAGACAAGAACTTGCGGCGGAAGAAAGCCCAGTTTCAGTATCTTCTCAACCACCGCCCACAGATCCTCTCCCCAGTGCTGCCTTTCAGCTGCCAGGACCGTTGCCAGGTCCGTCGCCTGCGGGACAAGCTCCTCTCGGTGGCCGAGCACCGGGATATCTTCCCAAACCTGCACCGGGTGTTGCCCAAATCCTGGCAAGTGCTGGAGGAGCTGCACTTCCAGCCACAAGCTCAGCAGCTGTGGCTTAGCTGGTGGGACTCTGCCCGGTTGGGGTTGCAGGCAGGCCTGACAGAGGATCGGCTCCAGAGTGCCCTGTCTTACCTCCACGAGAGTGGGAAGCTGCTTTACTTTGAGGAGCACCTCACCCTGCGGGAATATGTATTCCACAACCTGCCGCGGCTCATTGACATCCTCAATGTCTTCTGCCAGCGGGATGCCACTGTGCTGCTCCAGAAACTGCTCAGTGACACCCACATTGACGAACTGAGGGCCACTCAGCTCCATCACTATGTGGAGGGCTTCTTGCTGCACGGCCTCCTACCTGCTCACATTATTCGTCTCCTTCTTAAGCCCCACATCCAGAGCCGGGAGGATCTGCAGCTCATTCTGGAGCTGCTGGAGAAGATGGGGCTCTGTTACTGTGTCAACAAACCCAAATGCAAGCCCCTAAATGGGGCGGCCGCTTGGTACAAGTTTCCCTGCTACGTGAAAAATGAGGTGCCCCATGCGGAGGCGTGGATCAACGGCACCAATCTGAGCGGACAGTCCTTCGTGGTTGAGCAGCTGCAGATTGAATATAGCTTTCCATTCATTTTCCCACCCGGCTTGTTTGCACGCTACAGCGTCCAGATTAACAGCCACGTGGTTCAGCGGTCAGATGGCAAATACCAGATCTATGCCTACCGGGGAAAGGTGCCCGTGGTGGTGAGTTACCGGCCTGCCAGGGGATCTCTGCAGCCAGACACTCTGTCTATCGCTAGTCATGCGTCCCTACCAAATATCTGGACAGCTTGGCAAGCTATTACCCCTTTAGTTGAAGAACTGAATGTCCTGCTCAAGGAATGGCCGGGCCTGTACTACACTGTGCACGTCCTCTGTTCAAAGTGCCTTAAAAGAGGGTCACCCAACCCACATACTTTTCCAGGTAAGGCACAGGCCAGCTTGCCTTTCATCACTTCTGGGGCTTTGCGCCTTCTACAAGGGAGTCTTATGGTGTTAGTTGTAGCTCTGTCTCTTTTTTTCTTTTTTTTTTTTCCCTCTCCCTCCCCCTTTCTCCTCTGCTCTAACTCCCTTCCCTGCTGACTTGAGTCATGAGAAAAAATATTAGGGTAGCTCCAAGGAGACAGGCTTAAAATAACCCTATTCGGAGATGAGGGGGGTGTTACATCCCCGTTTGACCATGTATTTTCTTTCTGCTTTTTGGGTTTCAGCCCCGAGCATTGGCAGTGTCGCTGTTGAAATGGCCCTAACCTGTCCTTCTCCTTGTTTCGATTCCTTTGAATGACACTGTGTTTTTTCCAAATTCCCTTTACCCTGCAGCTCCCCGTTCCTTGGGGCTATTTGTAAACACAGATAGAGATGCCTAAAAGACCGCAGGTGTCCTGTGTCCCCCTGCCTTCAACCCTCCACCCCCAAAAACCTGGCTTGTGCTGCAGCCTTTCTGAGTGCAGGAAAGCTCCTGCTGGTGGACAATGGGTGTGTTAGTCTCCATAGCCCAGTATAAAAGGCACTTTCTTGTATCTGAGCCTGGTCTCTAGCAGGAAGCATTTCTCCCTGAAGAAAGAGGAATATTCCATCTTCTTTGTTTAAGTGTCTCACCTAGAAGTGATTCCCAGACTGTGCCTTTTGGAGCTATTCTTGAGAGCAATTATTTCCCTTCCTCTCTCCCTCTTCATCTAATGAAAAAAACATAATCTGTCTCCTCTGGAATGTGACAAGTCATGGTGCTTTTTAAAGTTGTTGCCTCTAAAGTCATGCTTTTATTGGTGGTGTTTTCCAGCAGCATCTGTTTTACTTTGTATGTATGCAAGGACTGCCTCCTAACTTGTGTCCTCCCTGCTCCACTGGGTTTGCTCTGGGGCTTGGGGGGGCCCTGGGAAGGGTGCTTTGATGTGTAAATCTGTGTAAAATCAAAACACAGTCTGGACTGTAGAAATGTGCATTATTTCTTTTTTTACGCACACGTGCCCATGTTGGAAGTATGTTGGAACATTCTTTATTTACAGCTAGCCTGAAACTGGGGGGGAACTGGAGTATGATTTGAGTGAAAGCAAGCAGTGGTGCTGCATTGGTTTGTAGGCAAATGTGAATAGTAAGGTGTGGTTTGGAGGGTTGTGGGTTTTTTCCTTTTTATTGCTCTGGACCTTGAGGATAAGGAGATGCTGTTTGCTTCTCAACTTACAACCGACGGAGCCAGGATGCATCTCCCTCTAACTGTGCTAGCTTATGTAAGAGCCATTGGACTGGGGGGTGAGCCTATGCTGTGTGAGTTGCTGAGTGGTATCCACGTGCTGGGTCTTGCTGCTGGCATGGTGCTTTGGGCAATGTGATCTGCTTCTCAAAAAAAACCCCAAAAATCCAGAACTAAAAAACACAGAAGCCCTTAAAAAAACAAAAACAAAAAACAACACACAACAGTAAAACCAACCAACCAACCAAACCCCACCAAAATTAGCCAAGACAGAAAACTGTATGTGCAGGTGTGATGGGTGGCTATTGAAGGTTTAGCTTCAGGTCTGTGGTTCACATATCTTCTTTTTTTTTTTTTTTCTTTTTAGTTAATGTTTTGTGGCTGATCCTTTTTTTTCTGCCCCCTATGAGTAGATGATGCTTTAAAAGTAAAATGTGAAGAGGAACCGGACTGGCTGCAGGCAGTTGGCATCTGTGCCGACCAGCGACTGACAGAGCAGGTCGAGAAGCGTAAGGGGGGCACTGACACTTAAAAGCTTTTTCCTTTGGATTTGGCTGTGCCATATATGTTTCCGTAGAGGTGGGAAAGAACTGCTCTCACCTGGGAGCCAGGCCAGGCGTGCCGGGAAGGGGAGGTGCAGGTAAGCAGTGTGTGGTTGGGCACGGGCGGAGTGGGGGCTGCTGTGCTCCGAACAACACCTGGGTGATGCTGCCTGTGGAGAAGGGGGTTGCAGCATTTCTGATGCTCTCCAGGGGAGATGCCAGGGCTTGCTACCACTGGTCACAGGGCTTAGCATCCCAAGTGGCCCTGCCTTGGGGCAGGGGATGACTATATTAACACGAATACTATGCAAG